AAACCCCAAAACCCCAAAACCCCATTGGTCTGAATATTTTCTAGCAATCTAATAAATATAAGCTGAACAGCTAACTTATATAGATATTGTAGTATATTAAAATAAGATATTCTAGTTTCTATTTCTAATTCAGAATATGTAGCAGGATTCACAAACTCTACATTTCTCTTTGTCTGATTCTTTTTCAAATGCTATGTCATGGTAAGCTTATTCTTCCTTGTAATATAAGCTATTTTTATTATCCTTCCTATAAAACCCTCTATCATAAGAGTATTTGACATTGGTAAAGGGGAATAGAGCATCTTCAATTAAGCCAACGTGTCTTTCCTTCTTAAATTTAAACTCAGACTCTTTCTTTGTGAGTTGATGGTCTTTAGCTTCTGCAATCTATTTTAAAGTTTAAATGTCTAATGTAATTCTCATCTTTATCTCTAATTCAAAAACGCATCCAGACTTATTACTTTATGGCTCATAATCTGAGTTCTTAAGTTTATCTAGATTATCATAGAATTAAAGGATATAATTCATTGAAACTCCAGAGGGGTGTTGAAGTTATGAAACTGAGACTTAGTCATATAAAAGCTTTAAATCAATCTTGGCTGATGCTTCAACCTTTCTTAATCGGCGAATGTTAAAGAATATGAAGTCTGAGCTATATAGCATAGTTAGATTTTTAAATTCATTATCATCTGAAAGAATGCTGTCATTTGTGTTAAACTCAGAGATTACAACTGGTGTATCACTATCTACTTTTGCTTCCAGCACATATTTTTCATCTCCTTGCTAAAAGAAATCAGTGTCAATCGAATTTGAGGCGAGCTTTATTCCTAATTTAGATTCAAAAATATTAGGTCTTTTTAGTTTTGGGTCATTCAAAGAATCTTAAAATTGAGTAATTGCCATTTTTTCTTGTTTTATTTTAGATTGAGCTTGCTTAAAATTGCCTAATAGCTGTTAAGTAATTCAAACTTACTTAAATACTCATAATTTTCAATCAAAACCATGGCTAGTTCCTCAATGTATTATCTAACTGGTACTTATCCATTTTTCTGAAGCTAGAAGAATATCTGTGCTTGCAAATTCATATTTTCTCCTGGAGTCATTGTTGCTCCAACATCCCCTCTTGGTGAGGCATATACTTTGATCAAGTCTCTTAAGAACCAAGTATCCTTATTAATCAAATCATTGTCATTTAGTCCATTCTCTCTAAACTCATCAGTTAAATTAGCCTATAATTTCATCCTGTGATCACATTTTAATCCTTACAATGAGCTGAAATTTTAGAGTGGACTGTTTATTCCTAGGATGTGATAATTAAAGTTCCATTTTATATTTTACGAAGATAATGTTAATAAATTGAAATTATTTTATAATATTGGCTCAGAGTTACTCATGAAAAATCTATAATAATCACGGAATAAATAATTAAAATTTATCTACTGCTATTACTTCTCACCTATTACTACTAGATATTTAAACTGAGCAATAACTATAAACTTATATTAAAACATTCGATGTCAGCTTTGAGAGAATAAGTTATGAACAAACAGAGCATTATCTATAAACCTTAGTTGGAATCTATAGAAGCCTCTCCAATCATATCATTAAAGGTATTCTCGCTTAACATAATCCTTACAATAGTCCAAGTAAATTCGAATAAGATATAGCTAAACCAGAAAGCTGAGTGTTAAAATTGAATAAAATCCCATTCATACATAATTGAATGAAGCAGGGCGATGCGGTAATAAGTTGATTGTAATTTATTCTTAAGGAAGTCTTAAACATTTTTCTAGAATGTTAGTTATATCGATGGTATTTAAGATGAAGATTCTCAGTTATTCATGCAAGAGGTATGCAATCTCACAGGCCAATAATATGGTAATAAATCATTAAAATATGTAAATTTAAATTAGATATGAAAAAGAACTAGGATTTCGATTCTATTTAGATGCCAGATTTCGATGAATTGCCCATTATATCGGGAGAATCATCATATGATTTACAAATTTCTAAATCAGACCATAACCAGGCCAATGTAAAAACTGAATCTGTAAAGCAGGCAAAAATAAAAGAATTCAAAATCAAGAAAATTTCAAGAACGAATAGCTAGAAATAATTATCATAACATCTGCAGATGTCAAATGAATAAAATAAAATTGATAATTGTGAATTTAGGAGCATTAACAAGCAAGAGGATTCACTCAAGAATTCTAGTAGATAATATGAAAATCAGTTAACTCAACCATCATCCCTATCTTCAAGCAAGAAAGCATTTGAGACTAATCAAAATAAGATAGTAAATAACCCAGGTTCCATCATGTAAAAATAATAATTAAACTTCATCTGATAAAACACTGGATCTCATCAAGGAAATAAAAAGTATATATTAAGCCCTGAGAATATTATGAGATCAAATAATTAGAATCATATTTCCCATCTTAATCAATTAAGCACTAAATCAGGAAATAGTAAAAAATCCTCTCAATTATGTCCATCAGTATAATCTAACAGATTAGGTCAGGAAACAGCTGCTCCTCTTTTGCTTGACAATGATGTTTCCCCTAACAAATTAAGTAAAATCAATGCTCGAAATACGGTCTATGGAGTTTCGTTTAACGATCAGTAAAAATCTTAAGGGAAAAAATAAGTTGAAAGAAATTTAAAGGACAAATATTAATTTGTAAATCAGTTAATGGAGCCTAATCACAATGCTAAATTAAGCTAAAGAAAACAGTCAGTAAACCTAAATGATTTAAAAATTTAAGTTATTTAGGAAAATCTTCTAGAAGATCAAAGTAACTTTGAAAGTCCTTATCCCCAAATTCAAGAAACTAGCTCTTAAAAACGACAATATCAGAAGAAAGTTTTCCATTTCCCACATCGAAGTGATTTAGAGTGTAGACATATTGGATTAGCTGAATAATAAAACAATAATATTCAATTGCAGAACTTATCAAGACAATAGTCAAGATCTAATAAAGGTCATTAAGCTTTGATAAAAGCATAGTATTTTTCGCCTTAGAATTCTTGTTTATCAAGCAACTAATAGATGACAGGAAGATAGTCGATATAATTTAGCGTCAACAAAAACGATTAATTCCCTGTAGAAGACTACTAATAAGAAATTAATCTAAATATGAATCTCTTATTTTATGACTTCAATAACTTCTGCGCTCCGAAACTAACCACAACTCACAGAGATATGTCTAATAGACCTGTTTCAAAAAAAGAATCAGACAAGAAAGTCATGAATCAAAACTTTGTATAGGATAGATTGCCCTCTAGACAAAATTAAACTAGAGGCAGCCTAAGTAGAGGTTAGCGTAATTCTCAACCACACGCTAATCTACATTATAATTAATCAATTATAACTGGTGATTTTGATAAAGTACTAGGAAGCCCAGTTCTACCCAGCATTATAAAAGTTCAAAATAAATTTAACTTCCCAAAATTATAAACGTAGGTACCAACTACGCCAAATAGACAAATTGATCCGAAATTAAAGCTCACTTTTAACTATAAAGACCTTGTAAATGAAATTAGTAGCACAGAGAAAACTTATTAGAGAAAAAAAATTTAGAGTAAAAGTGATAACACCTCGCCATACAGGCAAAGTAATGGCTAAAATTATAATCCAGTCCCTGTTAAAACTGTAATGGAAATGATTAATGAAGAAGATTTCTGAATAATAGACTGATCCTTGGATAATGATAGATGATTGGATACTTATGAGGTTTCTGAAATTACTTTATCAAAATCACCTTAAATTTTTGAATAAGCAACTATTAGTTTTTAGAATATTAAGCAACATATAACTTTAAAATTCAAATTCATCTTTTAATAAAGGGGTTTTTGGGTTTTGGGGTTTTGGGG